ACAATGACACAAAGTCACCTGAAATGTCATAATTACATCTCCCAAATTATATTATCATTGCCACTCTGAACAACACAAGTGGGATCGTACTTGCAGTGGCATACTGAGGTGCTGCATGTCTGCTCAAAAACTTAGACACATTTCACACCTCTCCCCTCTGCACTACTTTCCACTGAAAGAATTGAGTTCAAAATTTTCTTCAAGACAATCTATATCCTGGGGCAGTATCTTGAAAAATGACTATCAGGACTGGAACTGTCACAGATCTCCCTGCCTCACACTCCACCTGAAGGAGGCATTTGAAATTTCCAAATAGGAAAATGAGATCATGGCCAGGTAGGAAAAGCCCCAAGCTGAACACTGTTAAAACCCTACTCTGTAGACAGAGCCCTCCCATTTGGAGTAAGGGAAGATAAAACCACCTGTAACCAAAGCACTGCTTCTCAGTAGAGAGTGTTGTGGTAATAACAGTCAGAAAATTATGCATGCAGCATCAAAGAGAAGGGCAATAATGCTGCCTATCCTGTAGCTAAAGGACTAACAGTTCTGCTGATAGAAGCAGAACCTGTTTGACATAACTCAACGCCATTTAGAAGAGTATGGTGAACCACCGGCACTGATACAGCTAACACTCTTCAGAAAATACCACCAGACCTGCAGAAATTTTGGTGACCTTTTACTGTCCCCCTGCACTGACACAGCCCTGCATCGCTGGGTATCAGTGTAAATCCCCCTCATCATCAAAATGACAGGTGAAGAAAGGGAAGGAGGAACTTCTGCCTTCTCAGGTTTGCTTGCCCATCTCTGCTGGGGATTCCTTTATTGCAAGCAGCCCGAGTATTATTGCCATTTACAGTAACAATCACTCCATCCCCTCCTCTCCCACAAACCTACTGCTGATATTAGCACTGATCACACTAACAAGCCTGTAGATTTTATTACTACTGATACTAATAATACTGGACACGTTAGGTCTGCTCCCACCAGTAACAGGCTGCAGATATGATCCCTGCTAATGCCAATAATACTGGGGGATATTATCTCTGCAATTGTCAGCACTGCAGATAATTTTGCCAGTAATGCTGTCAAATACTACAGATACTGTCGGCGACCAGTGTTAATAATGCTGAGAATGTTACAGCACCAGCCTCACTAGAAGATGAATCCCAAATGAGAATTTGGGTTTGTAGAGGAAGTCTGTGTGTTATGGACAGAAAGAGCTATGTCTTGTAAGAATGGTTTTGTAAAAATCCCCAAAGTTTTACCCAGCTGAAGATGCTGTGGTATGCAGGGAGCAGTTTGATATATTGTTTTCATGTTATCTAATCATCTGTCTATATCCATCTATCTACCTGTCTATCTGTCTTTCCCTTTTCTCCGCATTTCTCCCTTTTTCTCCTTGTACAGTGCTCAAGACTATATGAGTGACACTGATTTTTTGTTAATGCCTCTGGGTCACCCCAGTTATCATTCTTTTAGCTATCAGTCAAGGGCTTATGAAACAACAGAAATATCTGCATATTATTTTTCCCCTTTGTCCTTCATATTGCTGCTCCTTAGTCTGACAGTAACCCTGCTGAGCATGGTTGGCCTGCCATCACAGACTACAGCAACGCTAGAATCATGAAGAGCCAGGAATTCCTGCTTTCAGATGCAGCTTGATACTGCAAGACCCTCAGCGGTCTTGGGAAAGTCATTACATGCTTCAGGCCCACCTCTGCCTTTGGAAGATGGTGGGTGTAAGTGCTGGGGAAGGTCAGAGGGAAGTTACAGCAGCATTGGCAGTGCCCACAGAATGCAAGAAATGCCACACACTGTGCTACACAAATGGTGGTGAACTTTTTTAGCCAAATTATTTAAAAAATCATAGGAGACCAACTCTGTCTAATCTGTCACAGAAGTCAGAAGTTTTGCAATCATTGGTCAAAATCTGAAACGTGGTCTTAACAGGGCGAATTCTGACCATCCTTCCTAGGTATTCACCTGAGGAAGACACACTGGGTTTTGAGGAAAGACTTGTGGCCAGGCAGTTCCTTGTTGTGACTAGCAGACACTCAGAGTTCTTTCCCTGCTAACTCTGTCTCAATGCCATAAGTTTCCCAGACCACCCTTGCAGCTGCAACCAGCGTATTTGGTAGGCTGGGATTTCCACTGTTCCCTCTAACTCCCTGTGAGGGACACACCTGACTGTCAGCGTCCATCTCTGAGCCCACCTCGTGCATCCGTCTGGCTCCTTCTGTCCAACTCGGGAGTTCTGCTACATCATCTTGACACATAATTATCTCTCCTCTTCTTAATCATCTGTGCTACTGTCTAATGTAGGCACCAGCTGCAGCAAGGAGGACCTGGGGGAGGGGGTGTGCTCAGATAGAGGCTCCTCTGTTTCTCCCACCCTGTTCCCCCCAGCCATCACAGAGGTTGCTAACAAGGTTTTCAGAACCGGGGATTCAGGAACAGCTTGGTACTTCCCCCTTTCTGCTGAACTGCATTCCTCACAGAGGAATCCTTGCAGCAGAGCTGGCCCAACAGAGCGGAAAGAAAGAGAGAGTAGTGCTGTTTCTTCTGCCTCCTTTAGGGAAGAGCCACTCCCTAAATGCTGGGAAAGTAGATGTGCAAAGCTCACAAATAAACCCTGCAGTTAAGAAACTGCAATAAAACAGTGCTCAGAAGCTCTGGGAAATACTGAGAACGTGTATGCATCCAGCATGAGCATAAAAGAAATACTTGCATTGGATTTCTTGACATCTAATCCCCATCTTGACTAGAAACAATCAGAAACTTCAGACCTACAGAGGAGATTGCCCAGGAATGAGTGCAAGGTCACTGGTGTTGCATACCCTCTGCATGGACCCTTCTCATCTTAGGACCCAACCCTGCAAAGGGATGATGTCTTTCAGCATTTCTTAAGGCCAGTGTGAGCCCAGATAACTCAGCTCTTGGTTAGGGGTGTTCAGAAGATGGCTGGGGGTCACATGTGAGGTTTTTCTAGGACAGGGGCACAACGTCTCCCTGCAGCAGATGTCTGAGATGACAGGATGAAGGCTGTTCTCTAAAGTAGTTCCAATCATGTCATGTAATTGCCACCTAAAACTCAGCTGAAGACAAACAACATCTCCGGGATTGTCTGGTACCTTTTTGATTCCTAGTGGAATATGTGGGCTCTTGGCCAACAGCAAGGAGTTGCAGAGTGTCACTTGCCTAAATCAAATCTGGGATGAATTAAGGACAGACACAGAGAGTAGTTCTTACTGTCAGTATATCATTGTGAAGTGTCACAGTCTTAGATGGCTGCTTGGTTGTATCTAACTACTTTCCAAAAAAAAGCTCAAGTTCTGAGGCTGGAATTGACTGTGAGACTGCATTTAAAGTGGGATGATCTTTCCAGGTATAGCCTGGATAGCTGCTAAAGCCAGACTGAACAGCTTCATTTCAAATGAGATGTGGAGGCACCATGTTGAGAGCTAGTGATCACCACACTGGACTGTATGAGAACAGGGATTCACAAAAACCCCAAATAAGTGCCAGGAGATCTGCACAACCATTAGAGAAACTTGTCATTCCATTTAAAATGTCTCTATTTCATGTATATGTAATGATGGCAAATGCTGGAGGGGGTTGCAATACTTGTAGTCTCTTATTCCTGACATTTTTTGGCTTTGAGGAATTGACTCAGTCCTTCCATTGCTACGCTTTTGTCTTAGCTGGGCCCTACTGCCATCTAGCTGGGAAATGGATCTTCCTCTGGGGCCCGATCCAATTTCCAATGACATCAGCAAAAATGTTCCCATTTGCTTTAATAGAAGCTGTGTTGGGTCCTTGCCTCTAGTTTTATTTGTATTAGTGAGAAAGGTGACATGGTGACTGCCTTTTATTCTTAGGATTATTGTGTTTGTTTGGATCAAAAACTTACAGATGTGAACCTCACCAGAATGAATGCTGAGAAAATTACCAGCAAAACCCCCAAATGCAGCATCTCTCTCAGGAGAGCTTTCTCTTCTCACTACATATCACAGACAACTCTCATGTTCTCTTGCACTGCACAGCCTTGGGGTTACAGCACACACAGCACACTGAGCCACCTGTACTGCTAAGAGGTCCCTCCACACAACAAGCAACACATAACATACTGAAGTCAGGGCTGAACCTAACAAACTGATCAGTCACTACCCTTAGAAAAGTTCACCTCCTGGCCCTCAATTTTAGAACAAATCAAATTAAAAGAGCAAGATTTAAAGAAAAGAGTTTAAAAGATACCGTAAAAGCACCAAGACCTTACCCACCCCTTCTGACTCAATCTATCTATATCCGAGGCTTCTGCTTTTGATTCATTTCAGGATCCACTTTGCCCTGAGTACTTCCCAACAAGTAGGAAGCAAAAGGAGATAGCTTAATCCTATTTCCTTAGAGCCCTAGCGGAAGGCCTAGAAAACAACCTTACGGTCACAGTACTCAGAAGACCTCCTGTTCTGCTTTCAGACTGTTGCAAGCATGACAGTTCTGCTGTGGTAGATGCTACCCATTGAAAATCGGGCCCTTGTGATCACCAGCTAATGTAGCTCATGGCACATCACAGGGCAGGAACTTGTTTGCAAGGGGAATGAGATATAAATCCCACATTGCTGGTGCTTCTCCAAGATGGCATTTTGTTTGAAAACGAGTGAGTCGGGGAAACCATGTTTACCCACAGTTCAAAGTCCGGGCACCTGCTGGCACCTGGGGAGTTCAGTTCCAGCCGTTTCCAGCAGTGAATGAACTTGGGATCAGCTCCAGCAATGGAGACGGCTCTCTGCCTGCTGAGCAGATGTCTGGAGACGCAGCCTGTCATGAAAGGGCCTCGGAAGAAGAGCATTCCAAGCCAGCAGGGCAGTGGCGGGGAACTGGTCTCTGTTGCTAAAACTGATCTAGCCCCTGGAGCAGCTGCAAACCTTGGCCTGAAATTGGAGCCTGTACATGGGGACAAAGAATATAAAAGGGAGGATGAGCTTCTCCCCTCCCCCTACCTTCATCACGTTTCCTCTTCTCGCCATTCGACCGAGGAATCCCCAGGATCCCGTTAATGGAGTAAGAGCCCACTGGATCATTGGAGGCACTGGAGACGGGAGGGGATGCTGTGCTGGGCACTGGACAAAAGGAAAAGGGAAAAAGGGCCATGAGGAGAGCAGCACAGCACTCAGGGATACCCAGCTAAAAGCTATGCATGCCACCAGCCTCATAGTGAAGCCTGGGCACTAAGCAGACTCCCAGTCCCTCACACTGAAGGACTTATACTCGCTCTACTGCAACTGAGCAAAGATGCATCCCAGCTTTGCTTGTCATTTTCTATACCGTAGCTCCACAGCCTTCCAGTACAGGGCCATTAATAACAAGCAAGTGTATTTCATCAAGAAGCTAAACCTTGTTGTTACATCCCAGTTCAGAGCAGGCTTCCCATAGCGTGTCAAGGTAACTGAGTGAAATGCTGCACAGGCCACATTCTCTAGTGACTTCATAGTACATCCATATTTCACTGGATCATTTCCTCTCAGCATTTTTTTCACCAAGAGTGCATGTGTTCTGTCTTAGGCAGACCAACCTCCTACATGCCCACCCAAAACTCTCATTGAAAAATTACCTTTTTAGCATACCTTAGAAGCACTTCAGTGTTGAGCTAATAAATTCTGTTCCCTTGTGAGGGAACAACTGGTGAGTTGGTGATGCATACTACTACCCAGATTAGTGAAAATCTAGTGACTTCCTTTTGTACTGACCAATGTCAATAGGCAGAATCCTGCGACCATTGAGGGCAATCCAAGACTGCTCATGAATTTCCAGTATATCAGAAATGACAAGTTATTCAGATTAGAAATGATCACTTCATGATAATCAGGACTTTAGAAAGTAGAATTGGTAGAGCTATGAATCCAGCAGGCATACCTATTATGTCCCAGTGTGTCCCAGTACTGGAGAGAATATCCCAGTTCTCTCATAGGCCACTATGCATCATTCAGCTCATAAAGCACTGACCTGAAGCAATCAATACCTCCAATACAAGCCTTCCAGGATGGAGCAGAACCTGTCAACACTGTCCAATGTAGACTCACGCTTCCCAGTACATCCCAGAGCAATGAGAGACTCTAGGGGAAGCACTCACACTTGCCATCCCAGCTCAGCCATTGCATTCCCTAGACATTGCACTACTGTTCCAAGAAGGAATAATATCTGCCAACTCCATCTGTTGTGATCAGTGATTCCCAGTACAGTGAGCAAGTCCAGATTAAATGGGCATCCAGAAATGCTCTTCTATATTGGCCCATTAATTCCATTGTACTCCTCAATAAAATTTGCATACAGGATTATATCTACCACCTCTGTCCCGTGTAGACCAGTACTTTCCAGTAAATCCTTGTGTAGCAACAGATTCTCAATAACCAACAGAATCTAAGACAGTGTCTTAGACCACAAATAAGCTACTGTATTTCACAGTATCCCAGAACTGCATATTTTCCCTGCTCTGACTTGTCACTAGATAAAGCTATGCTAGCAACAGCAGACATATCCACCATACAGCCCACAGACTGAAAAGCACCTCATCACATATCTAGCACAGTACCTTTAAACAGACTAGGAGACATTTGGTCACTTTATTACAGCCTCCATCTTCTGCTCACCTCGATAAACCAGCAAAACATCTTCCCCAGCAAAAAATGCATTTTCTCATTGAAATACACCCGAGGCATACCTGACTGCTGAGCTAGAACAATGAAGAACTTAGTTGTGAGGCAACAGGAATATCTTACCCATATTTGTGTATTACTAGCTCTAAGAAAGGGACCAGTTCCAACAAAGGGAGAGGAGAGAAACAAAATTGAGAGTAAGAGGGGGGAAAGAGAGTCAGAGTAAAGGCTCGTGCTTAGACAGCACAGCAGTAAATACTTCTCTATAGGGAGATGAAGGAGAGCATGAATGTGAAATGGATGTTAGGGCAGAATCACTTCAGCAAACCGCTACCTTGGGCTAGTTTCTCCATGATTCCCTTCTCTGCAATGCAACAAGGGAAACAAAGAAAAGAAACCTCTGATTTCCATAGAGGCTTCTTTCCCGCCACCCCCTCCTCCCTTTTGCTCTGCTCAGCATCTGCTTGTCATACTTTGTTCGCTCAACTAAGCCTCATCCCCATTTCCACTTGACCTGTCACCACCCTTCATGCCAGTCTCCTTACCAATAGTATGTCCTGGTGCAGTCACACCTGTCCCACTCCCGTCTGGTGTTGGATGAAAAGGCTGCTGAACTTTGGTTCTGATGATCCTGGAAAAGAGCAAAACACGTTCAGAACTCAAATGCAACTTCTCTGTGTCTTTGCATACCCACAGTCCCAGCTATCAGAACCCGAAAACTTGATCTGAGCTCTGGGTGCAGCAGAGTGGTTCCATTTGCCTTATTGTGGTCCTGATTCTACTGCTTTAATGGTACGATTCTTGGAGAATTGTCCTAGTTCTGCTCTATTATCTTTATCCCAAACTTGGGTGTTCACTGCATAAGGAGGGTGTTCAGTGAGTGAGCAAGTATCTCCTGTGTGTTAAAAGCTGCATTAGCATTTATGGTCTGATCTGTGAGCATCATCTCAAGGCAGTCTTTGCAGCTAATAGAGACATTGCTGGATTTACAAATGGTGTAGCTTTAATTTTGTTGTCTAAAAAACACCCTTCTGAATGACTGAATGCCCTTGTGGAAGGCTTGCCCAAAGCCCTTGCCCTTCATAAATGAGAAGTTAAGAGCAGAAGGCATCTGTAGGGAGTGGTGAGGGATAGAGATCACCAGGAAGAAGTTTCAGCAAACAGGGCAAAAATTGGTGTTTGTCAGATGGTGAATGAATACAGCATGGGAACTCAAAAAGATGCTACAAATCTCATAATATAGCTCAGAATGAAAATAAACTGAACTGTAATTCAGTGCTCTGTTTCTTGTTACATGAAATCTTTCACCTCTAGGTCACTGGTTTAAATCCAAGTGAGGTCAGTGGTGAAAGAAAATCACTAGCATTTGACTGGCAAGGTCCCTGACTACTGGCAGATATTGGGTATCTGTGACTCCAGAACCACTGTTTCACCAAGGAACTCAGCAAATAAGCCATGACCTGTGGAGGCCATGGAGACCAAATTCCTTTCTGAGATTAAAACAAACCCCTCCTCTCTTCAACCTCTCCAGTTAGGGTGAGGTCTGAAGATGCTCTTCAGCCTGAGTTTCTGGAACTCTCAGCCCTGCATTACATTAGCTTTATTTCCTACCCATTTTCTAAAATCTCTTCAGAAAGTGAAAGCAAATAGCACATTCTCTCTGCCTGCATGACAACTTCCCTTCTAAATTCATTCTAAAGAATAAGTTGGCAAAACTTCAAAGAACAAATGTGTGTCTAGTGGGTGGTATGGTATGGATAGAGACACGCAAGACACTGGGAGGGCAATATTGAAAAAGCACAACTCCTGAGACTGAAACCTTTTTAGGAAAAGAAAGAGAACATCTCACCTCAGCATGTTAGAAAACTCTGATGTACATATGATGAAGCCTGAGCAGTAGCTGGAGCGGCAGAGAGGCTGCCTGGGACATAGCTGGAGACAGACAATGTCAAGGTTCTAGCTGGGGATGGAGATCCAGATCCTCATCCCATATAGATAACTGGTACCAGATGCCCTAATCTATAGCTGCTGAGGACCTATACAGAAGGTGTCTGAAGGCTTCAGGGCCAGATTCTGAGGTCTTGCTATTTGTACTAGCTGAGGAGCTGATCTGAAAAGTCTGTGCTAGGGCAAATAATATAACTTTTTTTCTTCTTTTAGGTGTTTTTTTTTTCCCTCTTCTCTCACATTCCCCCTAAAACCCCCTGAAGTGCCACTCTGGTTGTGTGAGTTTATTGATTTCCCCCAGTCCAGAGAAACAGAAAAAGGGGATGGGGTGCAGGCAAAGGGATGGAAATAGAAAGCTATAAATTATTTGTGACAGGAAAGCAATAGTGCCAGAGTGCTGAGCACAAGTCCCGTGTCACTATTAGATTCCTTTTAGCCTGATGACACTGTAAAAGAGGTTAAGTGTCTGATGGAATCGTACACCTTGGGGGCAGGGGCAGTCCAGGAGAAGAACAAGCCACAGAGAGCGGGTATATCAATTCTCCAGGCCAATAATATTCCCCTCATTGATCGCAACACAAAGTTCAAAAATCTCATTATAGCTAGGCAGTCCTGGAACTTTTTAAAAATCAATAGAGTGATATAATGTATGTATACTTTGTATAAATGTATCTATCCATCCATCCATCCGTCTATCCAAAACCTGCCTGGGGGTGTCTAAGTTAACCTACACATTATACTGTGTTATGTTCTACTGTAGTGCAGCATAGTGAATGGATTAGAAGATTTCCCCTGCAGTCTTAGATGACATATTATAAAACGTCCTGTTAGCACTGAGGTGACATCAGACAGTTCCATTCATACTGAGATATGACATCAGACACATCATTCGTACTGGGAGATGGCATCAGGCGGCTAAGGGAACCAAAAGATGAGTCTAATTACACTGAGATGGCGGATCAGGCTGTGCTGAATCATGCTGCATGGAAATTGCAAAGTTTCAAAAAGCCATTTGGAGGACAAACAGCCTGTGAAACGCTGCAGGTATAAAATGCCTGTCCATAATACTCCAAAAATCCAGGCAGGGCATGAAGAGGAAAGTTCAATTTCCTTCCCCATTCAGTCTGTGGGCTAAGAACACCAGTTAGTGCCAGTTGTGACTGTGTTTACTGAGAAGCGTCCATTAGGAACTGGAATGAGGCTCACCAGCTCATTTCACCAAGTAGCTGTCAGCTGGTAATGATTTTCGGTCACTACCAACCAGGGCCAGATTTCAGCTAGTGACCCAGAGGTGAAAGGCTTGCTCAAAAATTCCCTTCCTAAGAATGAAGCTGGTTTTATGTCAAAAGAAAGTGCCTGGAAACTGTGAGCAGAGGGGAGCAGTTCTGATTTTACCACCTCTGGTAGCTTGGGTCAAATAATTCTTGGCATCAAATGCACAGACCTAATGAGGTCTCAGGTAGAAGGTATTTTCTATGATTAAAAGAAGAGGCAGAAGAGGTCATGAAGAGGCTCTCCCTGGCAGTGTTCTTTTGCCCTAAAGTCATGACTGAACTCTAGCATTGTAAGGAAAGAGGAGAAATTTCAGGATCCTAATGCTCAGTACAGAACACGGCAGTGCATCTCCCTGGGTCGATTCACTTAGGGACAGTGATAAACAAGTGATAGCAAGGCATCACTGCTGCTGCTTTAAGAGGCTTTGAGTGAGCCTGCCCTACACAAGACCACCTAATGAAACAGCAGATGAAAGATGAACAGAGCTGACCCAGTCCTATAGCAACAAATGCAGCATAGTAATGCTGTCTTTAAACTTTGTGATTGCTGAAAGCTTCTCACCCTTACCAGAGACTGAAAAATGCACTAAGCCAGCTCTGCTGCCTCAAATCTAGGATTTCTGGATTACTGCTGTATAAGAGGTCGGAAAACCTCAATCACCTCTTGCCATCTTTGATGGCTTGTTCTTGCCTTTAGACACTGGAGAAAGACAAGTGTTTTTGCAGACCACTTCCTTGGCCCTTTCCAAAAGTAGAAGGGACACAAGTCCTGCCACACCAGTTAGCAGTGCTGATTTCTTGAGATAAATGCCATATTTTCAAACGTCTTTATTTTCTCCAAGAGAAATTGTCTCTTTGGACTAAATTCATCCCTGCTCTAATTCCATCACAGTCAGTGACTCCAGTAACAGCATTTGTATTTAATTAGGAACATAAACTGGTACTTACTGCAAATTCCAATTTTTCATTTTCCAGTGGGAGATTTTTGCACAAGTTGTCTACTTTGAGTTTCAGACTATAAACAGATTTAATACATAACCTTCTGAAGTTTCAGCAACAGGACATTTATAGATCTTTGATTGCAGTAAAGCCACTGAACTTCATTTCACAATCTGAATTTAATATGCAATATTATCTTAAGTAATGGCATATAATGTCATTACAGTACATAGTATCATACTGTGAATTATACATCCATTCCTGGAATTCATGAGTTACCATACTTGGCTTGTAGCGACTCTAGATTTCTAGAATTAATACTACGTACAGCACCAGCTGAAATCAACTGCCTGTTTCCAAATGCCTTTTACTTTCCTAAATGTTCACCATTAGATCATGAATTTCCAATGTTTGATTTCTATTTCATTATTTTTATCAGTTTTAATGCAATTCCTTTTCCTGATTCTGAATACAGACAGACAGGCAAAAATCTTCTCTCCTAGTATGACAATTGTAACAAGCTCTCATCAAGAATGTAGAAAGAAATACTAGAAGTCAAAATTATGTGGGCCAGAGTCTTTTCTGAGAAGCAAAACGTTCACTCCTTTTAAATAAGCAAGTAAAAAATCACTTCTATACTTGTCCAGAAATTATTTGATGAAAGAATAAGAGATCATAGTAAACTTCCCTTGCTTCTCTGACATTTCTATCCAAACTCTCTTATGACCTAATGTACTCTGTGGTTTCTCCTTTCTTACTACAGTTGTCAGAGTCTTTAGACACTATCTCAAATAAAAAAGTTATACTAGGGCTGATCAGAGAGAGGTAAGGTAGGTCTGAATCATCTGGAGTCCCAGGCTAGCAATTATTTTAATCCTGGAAGAACAGAGTGAAGTTGCACCAAAGGAAAGAGTGGTGTGTCCTGCTGCCTCAAGAAGACCCTGGCAGAATTCAGAAACCACTGGTATCCTTGCTTTGATCATATTCCTTTGTTGTGGATTATTTTTCATAGTGGAAAGATACACTCAGCAGAGCACCAAACTCCTTGTAATTGTTTTGGAGTATTCATATTTTAAATGCTCCATATTAGCAGCACATTACAAGACCCCAGGGTGTGCATTACTGGGCAATTAAAGTGGTTCTTGGAAGGCTAACATTGTGAAGCTTCAGCCTTTTCTCTGCAGTGTGTCGAGAGGAGGCTGTGATGGCCAACGCACTCACACCCTGCTGTGCCGCACTGTTTAATTAGTGCCGGGCTGTACTGCTGAGCCACGGGCTCTGCCGGCGGTACAGACACGGCAGCCTGCGGGGGACACGGTGCAGGGCTCGGTGAGACAGTGATGCCTTCTCTGCATCAGATCGCTACCTACAAAAGGGCTTGAGACCATCCCAGTGATGCTGGCATCAGAGAAGAGGCAGCTTTGGGGTCCTTGTTGACAGCCTCCATGGAGTCAACAATATCTCAGCTGAAGATTGGTGCTGCACAGGCATTAAGAACTCTGAACGTGGCTTTGGTTCAAATAGGAGACAGTTTTATGTTTCTGTGCATAGGTTGAAACACAGCTGAATTCACAGCTGAGCAAAAGAAAGGGTGGGGGAGAAGCCTTGTTTGCGCAAACAAAGTTCAAAACGAAATGCAAGCTTTGTAACACCGTGAGGAAAAACAGCCGAGGGATTTGGGGGTGAAGGAAGGGAAATAGAAAGTCTGATAGAGCCTAATCCGACTTAGGGAAGGGCTTCAGTTCCTTGCTCTGTCATGGACCTCTCTCATCAAGAGTTTGGACAAATGGCATTTCTCTCTGTGCTCTGTTTCCTGCCTGAAGTGTGAAGATAGGAGCATTGCGTGCCACCTGGGGCACAGTGAGGACAGCTGGAAGGAGGAGTGAAGGGCTCAGACTCTCTAATAACGGGCCAAGTAAGTGCTTCAGCGAGCTGTAGCACAGTATTGGCTTCGTTCTCTTGCTTGTAGCAGAAGTGACACGTACCCTGCTGACAGCGGCTGTATGTGAAGGGAAGGGAAATAGGCAAAGGCAACAAGAATTGTATTTCAGCTGCACAGGCTTTGGCGGTCGTGTTTGAATTCGCAGCAGCAGATGTAGATGGGAAAATCAGAGCTGCCCCCCAAAAGCCACAACATAATTTCTACTGGGAAGCGGAGGGGGTGGGGAGTAGCTTCTACTGCTCTCAAAATCTACTGCAACACTTACAACCCTCAGAACAACAGCTGACATTGGCAGGAGCAGCAGACTCAGCTTCCTCGCTAGCTGGCCTGAGGCTCTGGTGCTCCTTGCCAAGGCAGCAGAATGCCTTCAAACCCTGCCACATTCAGGGGCCACAAGCAATATTCACACATTCAAACTCTCTCCTGTCATGCAAATTGCATTTTCTTCTCCCTACCTTTTGAAAAAGGAGAGAGAAGAAGGGTGACCATGTATACTATGTTAGTATATAAGCACAAGTATGACAGATAAATTAGATTGATTAGGTTGGTAGTCCTAAAAGGTGCATGAAGAGGGATTATCTGCTTTCCCAAAGCTTCCAAATAGATGAGAGGTCAAAATGGAGATGCCTTACATGTCTCAAAACACAATCCCAGCCCTCTCTGAGAATATTTGACTCCTTATCTCCTGTTAATCTGTGTAGGTCCATCAACTTCAGTGGAGCTACACTGACATGCCTGCAGACATGGGGAAAAAA